TATAAATTGCACTCAAATTTATCTAAGTTTAAAACCATATCATACAAGACCACAACTACCTAACTATAACATACAAATTTATTTAGAATTCCCTCTAAATCTTAACATATCTATGTTGAGAACAAACATAGCTTGATTTTTTTTACTTTCATCTGTTTAGTTTTCTCAGTTTTCAGATGTTCATATTTTAGCTTCTTTTTTTACCAGAAACAGTAGGAGTACCTCCCACTGTGTATATATTAAAAAAGGTTAAAAATACTGTACATGGTATTTACAATCCATCCCCCTTTGGGGGAGGCATGAGAAAGTTAAGTTATAAGGAGGCTAGGATGAGTGAGATGGATTGCTTTTGTTCTTCCCTAACCCTATGAATGAGAAGGGAGAAGTCAGCCTTAAGCCTGTCCAGCCAGGATGTTTTCGAGGGTGTGACCCCCCTGAAATGCTTGTTGTTGTGTTCCTTCCATATACTCCAAGCGGCCAGCAAAAATAGCTCCATAAAGAGTGGCCGATTCCAGTCTTCCTTTGCCTTAGAAACGTTTTGTAATCTTGAGTTACCAGGGTGCCAAGAGAGGCCAAGGTGGGACCAGTAGTCAGAGCTGAAATGGCAGTCGAAGAATAGTTGTTCCAATCTTTCTTCAATTTGCAGGCCACAGAGAATGCAATCATGAACGTTGCGGCCATTTCCCAAGTTTGCCATCGAGATACCTCTGTATGTTGGCATTAACTTGGCCACATCCCTCCACCAGAATGATCCGCAGGGATCAGCAGCATATGGGATTTGATCCGTGTAATATGTCTCCCAACTTAGTTGCACCCAAGGTGTGTCCCAGCCATTGTAAAATTTGTGTAGATATTTTAACAACAAATCATTTCCTTGAATGCGGAGATTGATTACGCCCAGACCTCCACTAGCCTTGGGGCGACACACTGATACGTCTCCAACGTATCTATAATTTTTGATTGCTCCATGCTATTATATTATCTATTTTGGATGTTAATGGGCTTTATTTTACACCTTTATATCATTTTTGGGACTAACCTATTAACCGGAGGCCCAACCCAAATTGTTGTTCTTTTTGCCTATTTCAATGTTTCGCAGAAAAGAAATATCAAATGAAGTCCAAACGGAATGAAACCTTCGGGAACGTGATTTTCTCAACAAACGTGATCCAGGAGACTTGGAGTGGGCGTCAAGAAACAATCGAGGAGGCCACGAGGCAGGAGGCGCCTACCCCCCTGGGCGCGCCCCCCACCCTCGTGGGCCCCTCGTTGCTCCATCGACCTACTTCTTCCTCCTATATAAGTCCACGTACCCCGCAAACATCGAGGAGCACCACGAAAACCTAATTCCTCTGCCGCAACCTTCTGTACCCGAGAGATCCCATCTTGGGGCCTTTTTCGGAGCTCTGTCGGAGGGGGCATTGGTCACGGAGGGCCTCTACATCAACTCCATGGCCTCTCCGGTGATGTGTGAGTAGTTTACTTCAGACCTTCGGGTCCATAGCTAGTAGCTAGATGACTTCTTCTCTCTGTTTGGATCTCAATATAAAGTTCTCCTCGATTCTCTTGGAGATCTATTCGATGTAATCTTCTTTTGCGGTGTGTTTGTCGAGATCCGATGAATTGTGGGTTTATGATCCAGATTATCTATGAACAACATTTGATTCTTCTCTGAATTCTTTTATGTATGATTGGTTTATCTTTGCAAGTCTCTTCGAATTATCAGTTTGGTTTGGCCTACTAGATTGATCTTTCTTGCAATGGGAGAAGTTCTTAGCTTTGGGTTCAATCTTACGGTGCTCGATCCCAGTGACAGTAGGGGAAACGACACGTATTGTATTGTTGCCATCGAGGATAAAAAGATGGGGTTTATATCATATTGCATGAGTTTATCCCTCTACATCATGTCATCTTGCTTAAGGCGTTACTTTGTTCTTATGAACTTAATACTCTAGATGCATGCTGATAGCGGTCGATGTGTGGAGTAATAGTAGTAGATGCAGGATCATTTCGGTCTACTTGTCGCGGACGTGATGCCTATATACATGATCATGCCTAGATATTGTCATAATTATTCGCTTTTCTATCAATTGCTCGACAGTAATTTGTTCACCCACCGTAATACTTATGCTATCTTGAGAGAAGCCACTAGTGAAACCTATGGCCCCTGGGTCTATTTTCCATCATACAAGTTTCCAATCTATTTTATTTTGCAATCTTTAGTTTCAATCTTTATCATAAAAATACCAAAAATATTTATCTTATTATTATTATCTCTATCAGATCTCACTCTTGCAAGTGCCCGTGAAGGGATTGACAACCCCTTTATAGTGTTGGTTGCGAGGTTCTTATTTGTTTGTGTAGGTACGAGGTGAGTCGCGCGTGGTCTCCTACTGGACTGATACCTTAGTTCTCAAAAACTGAGAACGCTGCTTTACTGCATCATCCTTTCCTCTTCAAGAGAAAACCAACGCACTGCTCAAGAGGTAGCAAGAAGGATTTCTGGCATCGTTGCCGGGGAGATCTATGCCAAGTCAAGACATACCAAGTACCCAACACAACTCTTATCCTTCGCATTACATTATTTGCCAATTATCTCTCGTTTTCCTCTCCCCCACTTCACCCTTGCCGTTTTATTCGCCCTCTTTTTCTGTTCCCCTTCTCTTTTTCTATTTGCCTCTTTGCATGTTTCTTGTTTGCTTGTGTGTTGGATTGCTCGCTTGTCACGATGGCTCAAGATAATATTAAATTGTGTGACTTTGCCAATACCAACAATAATGATTTTATTAGCACTCCGATTGCTCCTCTTACAGATGCTGAATCTTGTGAAATTAATACTGCTTTACTGAATCTTGTCATGAAAGATCCGTTTTCTGGCCTTGCTAGTGAAGATGCCGCTACCCATCTAAACAACTTTGTTGATTTGTGTGATATGCAAAAGAAGAAAGATGTGGATAATGATATTGTTAAACTTAAGCTATTTCCGTTTTCGCTTAGAGATCGTGCTAAAGTTTGGTTTTCGTCTTTGCCTAAAAATAGTATTGATTCATGGAATAAGTGCAAAGATGCTTTTATCTCTAAGTATTTTCCTCCCGCTAAGATCATCTCTCTTAGAAACGATATTATGAATTTTAAGCAACTTGATCATGAACATGTTGCACAATCTTGGGAGAGGATGAAAGTAATGATACGTAATTGCCCTACACATGGTTTGAATTTATGGATGATTATACATAATTTTTATGCCGGATTGAATTTTGCTTCTAGAAATCTTTTAGATTCGGCCGCGGGAGGCACTTTTATGGGAATCACTTTAGGAGAAGCTACCAAACTCCTAGATAATATTATGGTTAATTATTCTCAATGGCACACTAAAAGATCTACTAGTAAAAAAGTGCATGCAATTGAAGAGATTAATGTTTTGAGTGGAAAGATGGATGGACTTATGAAATTGTTTGCTAATAAGAGTGCTCCTACTGATCCTAATGATATGCCTATGTCTACTTTGATTGAGAATAACAATGAATCTATGGATGCAAATTTTAACTTTTGAAACAAAATCTGTAATTATATTGAGATCAAAGTTTTAAATAATGGGATATGAGGAATAGTGGCAGCCTCACTAGCGTACTAAATGGCGCTATAGCGCGCTAAAGCCGCTAAGTTGTACACGACGTTGTTAGCGTGATGTCCCACCAAACACTATAGCACTGATATAGCATGTCATTTAAAACTTTGATGGATTGAGATAGATTTTCAATATCTGCTTTGGTATTATATAGGAATTCAAGTAAATTGATGCTATGTTATACTCATTGAGAAAAGGATAAATTCATACTCTCACATGTTATACTCATTCAATCTATGCTATCATCTCCTTCACAGAACACAGTTCTGCAGTAAACACCACGAAGAGCGGTGTCAGTGTGGTATTCAAGATCGCACTTCCAGTTATAACATTCCTGCTGACACTCACATGCATATATCTCGTCTGCATATGCAAGCAAAAAGGTAGAACAAGGGACTCCAGTTTACTCTGATATGATCTTTCATGTAAAAGTGTCGAGTATTGATGTTACTGATATTTCTGCAGGGATACAAGTAAACAAGGAAACCCTGAAAAAACTGGCCCTGAAACACCTGAGCACTTCGCAAGAAGTTTGGGATCAAAATTTAGAATTCCAGTCTATTATGTTCGAAGACATTGCTGCTGCAACAAACAGTTTCCATGACACAAACGTACTTGGAAAATGAGGTTTTGGCAAAGTCTATAAGGTTTTAGAACTTTGACTTTGTTAATTAATTACAACATTGGAAAATCTGTTTCAATAATTATGAAATCACACAGGGAATACTAGAAGATGGAAAGGAAGTTGCTGTTAAAAGGCTTAGCAAGGGTTCTGATCAGGGGATAGAGCATTTTAGAAATGAAGTGGTTCTTATTGCCAAATTGCAGCACAAGAATCTAGTTAGACTTCTTGGCTGTTGTATTCATGAGGATGAGAAGTTGCTTATTTATGAATACTTACCCAACAAAAGCCTGGACCAGTTTCTTTTTGGTATGTTCTAAACTTCTAATCCCATACTATCGAAGGTAATCTCGAATTGACCAAGCAAACTTACTTGTCTGAACGGCTTATGCCTTGCACTCATGTAAATGCATGTCCTGTTCTTGGCAGATATTGCAAGGAAGTTTATGCTTGATTGGCCAAAGAGGTTCAACATAATCAAAGGGGTAGCTAGAGGACTTATGTATCTCCACCAAGATTCGAGAACGACTATAATCCATAGAGACCTCAAGCCAAGCTACATCCTGCTAGACGTGGAGATGAACCCAAAAATATCAGATTTTGCAATGGCAAGGATCTTTGGGGGCAACGAACAACAAGGAAGTACCAGACGAGTTGTTGGCACGTAGTAAGTACTTCTTCAACTAGTCCTTGGTCTGAAAATTTAATTTATAAGCCTGAAATAGCTCAAAATTTTCAAACAACGGGTACATGTCGCCTGAGTATGCGATGGAGGGCATTTTTTCCGTCAAGTCGGACACCTACAGCTTTGGTATTTTGCTACTAGAGATTGTAAGTGGATTAAAGATCAGTTCACCACATCATCTTGTGATGGACTTTTCAAATCTCATATCATTTGTAAGTGTCACATACTGTGTTATGAAAAATGCTTCAGATTCTAATAACTCAACAAGAAATGCAGTATTAGCAAATATAAATTACAAATTTTGCCATTATGTTTTAGGCATGGAACTTGTGGGCAGATAGCAAAGTGGAGGATTTCGTGGAACCAGCCATCACGGAGAGCTACTCGCTTGATGAAGTGTCCAAGTGCATCCATGTTGGGCTCTTGTGTGTCCAGGACAGCTCCGGTGCTAGGCCTCACATGTCATCCGTTGTGTCCATGCTCGACAGTGAAGCCATGCCTCGCGCAGCGCCGAGGCAACCTATGTATTTCGCGCAGATAAATTACGAAACCAGTGATGCGACAGAAGACCTGGAAAACTCTGCCAATGGCGTGAGCCTTACGGCACTAGAAGGACGATAACTGGCTCATGTAACTGTGTCATTCCTACTAGCTATTAAGATTTACTTATATTTGAAGGAATGTATTCTATGGAAGATTTGTGTCCTTCTTTTCCTTGTTGGCCATGGCATTAAGCCCACTTTTGTTGGGTTGTACCGTTGACATGGATTGAGAATTTTTGGTCAAATTAATTGAACGATAAGTGTGATAAATGCCTTTTCTTATTTTGGTATTTTTCTATTTATTTATCATTATATATACATGTTCACCCTTTTTTGCTATTTTATTTATTTTCTAAAAAATACTTGGAAACAATATTTTGTGTTAAGAAATTCTTTCATGTAGTTTAAAAAATGTTCAATATTTATTTAAACAAGTTCAGCCTGCATTCAGAAATGGTTCAGTTATATGAAAAAATGTTCGTCATGCATGAGAAAAGATATTCAATGTGTATTAAAAATATCTCAAAAGAGTGTATAAACAATCAACATGTATTAAAATAATTTCAGCTTGTATTAACAAAGTGTTGAACATAAATTTAAAAATGGTCATTGTGTTAATTAAAAAAATGTTTCATATGCATATGAAAACGCTCAAGTATGAAATATATATATATATATATATATATATATATATATATATATATATATATGCATTTGGTTTTACATTGTTAGTAGTTAAATAAAACTAAAAAAGGGCAAACAAAAAGTAAAAAAGAAATGGATAAAATAAAAGGAAAAGGAAAGAAAAACAGGAAAAGAAAACAAATAAAGAAATAAAACAAGAACAAAGAAATAAAATGGAAATAAATAAAAAAACATAGGGGGAAATGAAAAATAATATGTAAAAAAGAAACAGAAAAACATGAAATAAAAAATAAAATGGAAAGAGAGAAACAATAACATATAAAATAAAAGAAGGAATCGAATCAACAGAAGGTAAAAGCTGAAAATCAATGGTCTTTGGATGGTCCACACAGACGAGCAGTACATGGTCAACGCACAAAACCAAGAAAAACTTAGATCACATTGGTGACCAGTAGAGTAAGGTTTTGTTTGGCAGTAAAGTATTATAAAAAAGGGAGTATTGAAAAATACAATATTTTATGGAAATCTAGTTTGGCATTTGGGAGCACATGCTCCTGCGCGTGAAAAATGTTCTTTTTTAATGTCACAAAAATCGGGAAGAAAAAATGTGTTCATGATCACATCCAAATACTACCAGCAAATTTTTAGGGGAAATGGTTAAGCATTATGACTTGTACAAAAAACAAAACAAAAAAATCAAACACCAAATGTTACTTTTAATTTTGTTTTTTACCAATAAAGAAGCGTTATCCCGTTTCGCATGAAAATTGTCAAGCAGGCTTGCTACACGAACATGAACATCTACAGAAAATTCAGATTTATTTATTTATTATTGTGAATTACATGTTTTTTCAGGAGCATATGCTCCCTGGAGCCAAAACTTTCCAATATTTCATGTTTTTTGGCACTCGAGTCCTATCTGCCGCTCTTTATGGGAGCCCCTATTCCTCGCATTGAGCGACTATAACTCCCGACTCGGGCAACCAATATGGGTCAGCCCACGCGCGAGCGAGGTCACAGTCTGTTTTTCTGTCTTTTTTTTGACGTTTTACGTCTTACGTTTTCTGTTTTGTTTTTTGTTTTATTTTTGCAATTTCGTTTATACTCTCAAATATTTTAAATATATATTGCAAAAAACTCACAAAACATTTCAAAAATGTTGGATAAGTATTTGAAAAATGTTAAACAAGTATTTGAAAAATATTATCAAGCATTCAAAAAAAATATTGAACATGTAGTTGAAAAATGTTGAACAAGTATTTGAAAAATGTTAATGTAGCATTGCGAGAAATTTTGAACAACTATTTGAAAAATGTTGATAAAGTATTCAATAGAAATTGAACAATTACTTGAAAAATGTTAATCATGCATCTGGAAAAATGTTGAATAAGTATTTGAAAAAAAAATTAATCAAGCGTTTTAAAAATGTTGAACATGTATTTGAAAAATGTTGAACAAGGATTTAAAAAATGTTAATCAAACATTCAAGAAATGATAACAAATATTTGAAATTTTGAACAAGAATTTTTAAAAACATTGATCATCTATACTTTGAACAAGTGTTTGGAAAATGTTGAACAAGTATTTGAAAAGTGTTGAACAAGTATTTGAAAAAATGTTGATCATGTGTAGCGAACCAGCTTGAGTTACTGTAGAGAAAAATATTTAGATAAAATTGAGAACATTTTTTAATCGTGATTTTTTATTACAACATGATTTTGAAAAGATGAACAAAACTTGAAATTTCAAACAATTTATTAAAACTTCATAAATTTTTGCATTCTACAAATATTTTATGAAAACATGAACAAAGTGTAAAAATGAGAATGTTTTTTCGAAAATTTAAACATTTTGAGGAAAATTGAATTTGGATTTTGGTTTTTTAAAGCAAGTACTTTTTCAAAATGAGAATATTTTTTCAAACCATGAACGAATTTTTATATTTCTGAACATTTTTTGTAAACACAAACATTATTTTCGAATCTGCAAACTTTTTTGGAATGCAAATAATTTACTAAATTGTGAAATTTTGAAAAGGAAAAATAAAAGAATAGAAAATAAAATACAAAAGGTAGGAAACTAAAAAATGAAAAAGAAAAGAAAAACTGAAACAAAAAGAAAACCCAAAACCAATCAAAACAATAGAAAAAACGGTCTAAAAACCTTCTAGAAGGTTCTCAAAATCACTCAGGAAACTTTCAGAAAGTTCCTAAAACCGGGATTCTCACCACATATGTAGCTCTAAATGGTGGGCCATTTAATGTCTGTTAGTGGATATCCTATGCGTGTCAATGACAACTTGATGTAAGCGTGTTAAAAAGGAAATGCGTGTCTCGGTCTCAAGCTTCGACGTTCTTACGTTTGCTCGTCTCTTTCTGTCGTTTTCTCCTTTCCTTTTTCTATTTCATTTACGTTTTGAAATATTCCAAATATGTATCATATATAAAATTAACTTTCTCCGATTATGAAAACTCTCGGTGCACATTAGAATATATGTTTGTGCATATGAAAGTCTATTCATACAATTTTGAAAATTATTCTTACCATTGGAAAACATGTTCGTGTAGTTCAAAAAATGTTCACACGTTTAAAAATGTGTTCGTTACACCATATTAAAAAATGCATGAAAATATAAAAAGTTGTCTGTGTAATTTACAAAGAAAAATCATGATATTTCATAGAAAATTGCGGATTTGAAAATATTGACATTTTAAAATAATGTTCACTGAAATGAAACAATTCAGTCTCGCAATCTTTACAAAAATGTTCATAACATATAAAATACTGGTTGCATGTTTTTAAAAAATGTTTCGTAATTTTTTGCAAGAAGTTCAAACTGTGTTTAAAAATGTTCACCATGCAATTAAAAGATGTACAATGTGTTTTTAAAAATGTTGAATGTGCAATTTACAAATGCTCAACATGTATTTTAAAAAGGTGTGAAGTATATCTAAAAGATTCAAGCAGTATAAAAAAAATATTCAACGTGTATTCAATAAAAGGCGACATGTATTTCAAAAGTGAAAGAAAATGAAATAAAACCAGCATGTAAAATGAAACCTCGATGAAAAACCAATAGAGAAAAGAAGAAACAACACAGTACCTTCCGAAGACCAGCCAATACCGGCCAGGGTGTTTCCCGAACCGTTCTCTAGAAGCTTCCCAAAACCGCTTCTTGGGCCTGTCCCGTAGGCATGGTGTGTCTGACACCAAGAAATATATCCCAAAGCATTCGCCATAGGTGGTACATAGTATTTTTGCTTTTGTGCATTGTGTTATTTGAATATTACATTTTTTTCAATTTGGAGTTCTGTTTTTCTTCTGGTTTTTATTCTTTTCTGGGGTTTTGATGCATTCGTAGGTGATGGGAACGTCTCCTCCCACGAGCACACATCACCGGAACGGCTGAAATATATCTAGGGAAGTGCGACCATCGGTGCCAAGTCTAGGAATTGAACCTCGGTGGATTGGTACCACCACAAGGAACCTAATCATCTTAGCTACGCTCAGTTCGCTTCTATTTATTGTTGTTTCAAAGAAATGTACACACTTGCTAATGAATACACAAGCATCTTCTTTAAATTGTGTGACCAATTTTTAAAAACTAAATGAACACTTTTAAAAATTATACAAAAAATGTTATTTAAAGTGATTGAACACCTTTTTAATTACATGAACATTTGGAAATTAATGCATTAAAATCTTGCACAATTTATCGGTAAAATTCACTTTATTAGGTGTACTCATGTTTTCAAAAACAACAAAAAAATCCATCATAGAGGAACATATTTCTTGTAGTGCTTAAGAAAAATGTTCTCCTTCATATAGAAGAGTGTTGGCTTTCGTAGTAATTTCAAAAAAATTCCTACGCACACGCAAGATCATGTGATGCATAGCAACGAGAGGGGAGAGTGTTGTCTACGTACCCACACAGACCGACTGCGGAAGCGTTGACGCAACGTAGAGGAAGTAGTCGTACGTCTTCAGGATCCAACCGATCAAGCACCGAAACTACGACACCTCCGAGTTCGAGCACACGTTCAGCTCGATGACGATCCCCGGACTCCGATCCAGCAAAGTGTCGGGGAAGAGTTCCGTCAACACGACGGCGTGGTGACGATCTTGATGTACTACAGTAGCAGGGCTTCGCCTAAACTCCGCTATAGTATTATCGAGGACTATGGTGGCTGGGGGCACCGCACACGGCTAAGGAATAGATCACGTGGATCAACTTGTGTGTTCTAGGGTGCCTCTGCCTCAGTATATAAAGGACTAGAGGGGGGAGGCTGGCCGGCCATAGGAGGCGCGCCAGGAGAGTCCTACTCCCTCTGGGAGTAGGATTCCCCCCCCCCAATCCTAGTTGGAATAGGATTCGCGGAGGGGGAAAAGAGAGAGGGGGCCGGCCACCTCTCCTAGTCCTAATAGGACTAGGGG